TGAGGGCGTGGGTGCTGCGTGGTCATGGAAGTGATTTGTCTGGAGCCTCCCCTCGCCACGCACGCGCTCCCGGTGACCAGATGTTTGCCTTCCAGGTGACGAAGCCCCCTCTGTAACCAGCGAGGCCGGCGGTGCCGTGTCTGACGATGCCTTATTCAGAGACAAATTGAAACACATGGGAAAATGTGAGTCGGTCTGCGGGCTCCGCGATGGCAGCGGGGGCAGCTGTGGGCTGGAGGGGCGGTGGGCGCAGGGGGGGCTGGGGAAGAGCTGGCGGCGTTGCCCAGCGCTCGCCCAAGCCCTGCAGCGTGTCCACTACCACGTGTGCGTGGAGCTTTCTTGTCACCTCTGTTGGCAGCTGGGCACAGGCGTCCCCGTCGCCCTGCGAGTGACATGAGGGCTGGCACGTTGGTGGGCAGGGCGCAAGCCATTGCACGCTGCGGTGGCACGGTGTGCTGAGCCCTGGCAGCAGTGCTTCAGGGTTGAGTTTCCATCTGCATTTTACAGCCCTGGGCTGGTGCGTCCCAGCCCCGCGGTGCTCTCCTGGCCCTCCGGGATCTCCTGTGCCGCACACTGGGGCTGGGCGCCGGTGCCAGCACAGTGCGTGGGAGATGGGACATGTGGGTCTGCACTGTCCGTCTGTCCCCAGTGCACGTGTGGGTCGTGGTGTGAGTCAGGGATGCAGGTGGTGGTGGGGAACAGAGGGGTTTCTGGGCAGGGTTTGTGGAATCCTAGAAAAGCAGAGGGTTTGCCGTAACTCCTCCTTTTCCAGTCCTTTCCTCTTAGCAAGTCACAGCTGGCTTCTCCCGTCGCAAAATAGACTGAGGGCTTTGGGCTGCTTGAGTGGGGCTGCAGCCAGCTGAGACCCCGGAGATGTGGGTCAGTCGTGGGTAGGGAAGGTCAGGAAAACCCCAGTCGAAGGGTAAAAAGGTCGAAGGCCAGGTTGGATGGGGCTTTGAGCAACCTGGTGTGGTGGAGGGTGTCCCTGCCCATGGCAGCGGGGTTGGAACTAGATGGTCTTGAAGGTCCCTTCCAACCCAAACCGTTCTACCTTCCAACTCAAACCGTGGGGCATCAGGGAGCGGGTGTCTCTCACATCACCACTGCTTTGGGAAGGGGTTTGGGTGAGACCCTCACCCAGCTGCTTCCTTCCAGCAACACGCAAGAAGCTGTTTGAACTCGCCAGAGCCTTCTCTGAGAAGACAAAGATGAGGAAATCAAAAAGAAAACACTTGTTGAAGCACCAGGTGTATCCTAAAAGGGGCTGGGGAGCTGCAGGGGGGTGCGGGGCTGTTGGGGCGGCCTTGCTCAGGTGCTCCCGGGGGCTCCCCGAGGCCTCTTGCGGGGCTGAGAAGGGCAATTGTGGTGCCATGGCCACAGCCTGGCCCCACGACTGGTTTTCCTTAGCGGAGAGCACAGGCTGGGGACGGCGGCTTCCACGGCAAATCTTCTCGACGACGTCGAAGGACATTCGTGCGGTAAGAAACACCGTGCCGTGCCGTGCCGTGCCGTGTGTGCTGTCCCACGTGGCTCTCCTATGAGCGTGTGCTTGCTGGGATGACCAGAGACGGGATCTCCACTTTTGGGAAGCCTCGTGGCTGGCAGCTGGGCTGTGCCGCCCTGCAGGATGTGTAGCCCGGGGTTGGGGCACAGTCCTGGCAAACCTGTCATCAGCCAGATTTGCACAGAGGTGGGGCTCAGCAGTGGGTTTTGTGCCAGCGCCATCCGTGCCAGGACTGGCTCAGGTGTAGCCGCGTGGTAGAAATGCCCCCATGGGCCAAAACCTCCTTCCAGCATTCTCAGGCATGTTCTGGCAGAGTCCCCATGTCCCAGTCCCTGGGGATTGTCTGTCTGGGCGAAGAAATCCCTGCCCCGGGGCAGGGGCCAGGTGTCCTCCCTGCTGGGGCTGCGACCACGGCGTGGTGGCCGGTGTCCTGGTGTGGACGT